TCCCAGCCAGCAAATGCTGGCTGGGGAATTCTGGGAGTTGAAGTCCAGACATCTTCAAGTTGCCAAGCTTGAGAAACACTGGTTTAACATTTAAAAATGTGGTTGTTGAAGAAACTATCATCGTTGTGTTCACACTAAGCCAATCAAGCGGACGTAACACATTGTAGCCGTTGAATGGATGACACAACAGTGCACCAAAGGAGCATGAAATCTTAGCCCCCTGTGATTTTTCCCCCCCACCCCATATTTGGCAAGTAAAAGCCATTTTCCAACGGAGGGCCTTTTTTTTAAATTATATAAATGAAACAAGAATCACCGCGCACACAATAAAAGGATGCAATTTATGTTCCCCAGGGATTATTCATTTTACTTATAGGTTAATTAAGTTTATATTCTATCCATCAGTCGGCTGAGACCAGAAGCTTCATTAGCCTCGCATCAACTCCTGTTACAAACCAGGAAAATGCGTATACGAAGCCATCTTCGATTGTTTTCCTTTTTTTTTCTGCCTCTACCCAACTGAAATGTGGCGCGAACATCTGTTTTCACTTCAAGACATTAATTTCCAATTATTGAAGAGAAACAAAATAAATCCTGACAAATTACTGGGAACTGTGGAATCTCTTTTTTTTTTCTTTTTGTCTATTAGCTTAGAATAGTAATTTAGAAATCCCACAATTAACGTTCCCAATGAGGGGATTGTTCCACTAGATACTTGTTATTTAAGGCAATTTGGTGGTGACTGATGCTTTCTCTGCTACCATCATTACACACAATTTTTATTTTATTTATTTTTTTTAGAACAGAGGCTGGGTTAGGAGGGAGGAAAAAAAAGGCAAAGGGGAAAAAGCATCTTCTGCTAGCAATTCGTTGCCAGAGCTTTTTCCTTTTTTTCTTTCTCGGCAAGGTAAGGTGGAAAAATAAATGTCATGAATTGTATATGCTTTGATTTATAAATCCATGCCCACTTCACTAATTTACCCAAGCCAATTCCCTTCCTTTACCCCTACACATTTTTCTGCTATGCACCGCTTTTTTAAAAAAACAAGAGGAAATATCTCAGGTACAGGAGAATTAAAAGCATGCCAAGCACCAATCACAAATTCCAGTTACTAAGCTAGGAAGCTGCAGACTCTCTCTTTCTTTCTCTTTCTCTCTCTCTCTCTCTCTCTCCCCTGCCGTAAAAACCCCAAAGGAAAACTTCTCACAACTCTCGTTGGTAGCAGAAATAAAGACAATGGAACCTACAAATCTGGGATTTCTTACCTAGCCTGTGAACAGCGCTGTCAACGGTCAGTGGGGAGCACGAAAGCCCCTCCTC